GCCGAAGAACACGGCCGAGCTCACGAACTACCTCAAGAGCGGCGAGAAGCTCATCATTGACCTCACCACCACGTTCGACTTCACCAACTCGGAGGGCACGGCCCAGAGCACCGGCTGCACCTTCCAGAAGTGCGGCGCCGGCTTCCAGCAGTCGCTGGCGCACGCCGGCACATGCAACGGCAGGTCGGCCAGCAAGGTACGGAGCGGCTGGACGCAGTGTACTACGAGCACTTGCACTTACGGGGCAGGAGCCGTCTAACAGAGCCTGTCGTCTCTTATTTAGGTCAAGTACTCCAAGGCCGGCCTAACCGAGCTCATCGTCGGCTCCAACAAGTCCATCATCAGCTCAAACGGAAAGGGCGCCATCAAGGGCAAGGGACTCCGGATTAAAAACGCCAAGAACGTCATCATCCAGGGCATCACCATCAGCGACATTAACCCTCACGTCATTTGGGCCGGTGACGCGCTCGCCTTCGACAACGTGGAGAACGTCTGGGTGCACAAGTGCACCATCGCGGTGAGTACGCTACATCGGCGGGATGCATTTCCGGTTGACCCCAGTGTCGCCTCAACATTGTGCTTTGCGCAGCGCATCGGGCGTCAGCACCTGGTGACCTACCAGCAGACCAACAAGGGCATCACCGTGTCCTCCTGCCTCTTCGACGGCACCTCGCCCAGCGCCGCGTACTGCGACGGCAAGCACTACTGGGTCTGGCTGTTCTGGGGCACCCACGACGAGATCACCCTCATCAACAACCGCGTCGTCAACACCGCGGGCAGGACGCCCCACGCCGGCGGCTGGAGCAAGTCCCAGGTAAGGTCTGAGCAGGGGGCGCAGTTGAGCGCCTGTGGGGAGCGGGGTAGGCCACCGCGCAACGCACCGCTGCGTCGTGCGGACGCCTACCCCGCCGGCCGCAGGCGCCGTGTGCCTTGAGCAAGGTAGAACAACGTCACTAATCGACTTTGTGTTTAGAACTACGTCCACCTTATCGGCAACTCCATGGAAAACAACAACCACGGAGGAATCGAGCCCAAGACCGGCTCTTACATTCTCAGCGAGGGTAACAAGTGGACTGCCTTCACCAACGTGAGCAAAACTTTATACGATTTCAGTACCTAAATAATTGCGAAAGGAATTTCACAAGATTTTTTTATTTTTCATTGTTACAGCCCATCAACATCATGGCTAAGGGTGGCCACATCGCTATGGTCAACGACGCCAATGGTGCGTCGCAGTGCAAGAAGTACTTGGGAGCCAACTGTCTCGTCAACAAGTTCGACAACAAGTCCAAGTCCAAGACCTGGTTCGACGTGGTCGTCCTGAGTCAATTCAGCAAGCTCTACAAGAACGCCATCAACAGTACCCGCAATGCGGTTTGCGGAGTATCCCATGTCTGTAACCTTCCTTGTGCTGCCTGTTTCCTGTTTGGCCAAGCTTTACTGTTGAGACACATCCGTGCGAAACTGCATGAGGATGATGAGATACGTGACAGTTAGGGAGACGATCTGTATGACAAGAAGAACACAACCGGTAATTGTGTGCTAAATTGTTGCAAAAGGTGTGACAACTGACGTTGATACTCACGGAAGTGAAGAGAGGTCGGTCGATGTTCGCGAAACCGCTTAGCGACAAGTGAGCCGGCCGGGAACTCACGGACATGTAAAAGAGCAGTACCTGCATCATCGTATGTCGGCGTTAGCACCCCCACTCTGAGGTAAATGCACGTCCAAAAGTGCAAGAAACAAATATTCGGAGCAGCAGACGACTTACAGCTCTATGGAAATGCTCGTCACGCGCATCCATCGACAGCCTGTCCAGAGCAGCAGTCACAGGGCCGTGCATCTGCATCAGACGAGTACTGTTCAAATGTTGGTTGAAAAACGAATACGCGAATGGATGTAAGAGCTATTGCACCCTAAAAAAGCGTGTACTTTTCGTGTACCTTACTAAGTCAAGAGCAATGCGCTCATTTTGAAATGTCTTGAAATTGTAACTAGTAAAATTGCCATCTTGGGCTCATTGCGAATTCAAACCCGGAGTGAGGTTTCGTGCACGAAATGAGTGAGGTATATTTCCCTCGCGCAAGCAAAGCGAGATCTCAGGCTCGCCCCATTTGAGTGCTTTTCACAAAATTCTCACTCTCAGAAAGTGGAATCCTTCTAGCACGGCCCGATTGTAGAGACTAACCTTTCTAACATTGGGTGAGGGCCGTAAACTATGACTCAATTAGAGTCACAAAAATAATTCTCCGTTCAAAAGAGAGATATTTTTGGGCCGTCACCGGTCCGCTCTCCTGGTTTTTCTCCTAAGCCTAGGATTACTCACAATCTAGCTGCACCACAGGCTGACTAGTTTTTGTAGTGCTCGAATGAATCAAGTAAACTATACATCACGTGCAATGTACTTATATTAATAAAATGACACGCATTTTGGGGTGTCGGTGTCCGATGTATTATTACCGCGGATACCGCCCCGTGCGCCAGGTCACTCATCCGATACGCCTGAAATGACAACACGAACATCCAGATGACTTGCGTCGAGGCCGACACCAGCATCTTAGCTGACCTGGCGGGCGAGATGGACAAACCGGACGGTGCAAGAAAAACAACAGCGCCATCGAAACCATTTGCAGTATACATATCAAAGGGCTGGGAAGTACTCACGCAAGCGTCTGCCACAGGGAGACGGACAACAGCAGCAAGGCAAAGCGTTGCGACATGAAGAACACATCCAGCAGGTAGAAGCTGGGGCGGTC